GCTTCCCAAAGTGCTGGGATTACAGGCGTGAGCCACCACCCCCAGCCGATAACAAACATTTATGAACCCCTTCTTTTTGTCTCCAATTATTTTGTCTGAAAACATTTTCAAACTTCAGGACTTTCTGACTTCATAATGCTATGAATGAGTCTCGATTTTTTAAATAATGTAATTTTCAAGGGTGCCCACTGCTGACTATAATAGACGGTCTCAGAGACAGATCCTGGCAACAATACCGTCTTGTAGGATTTAATATGATTGAGTCACTTTCAATTAGACAAGAAAGCATTACATTCTAGAAATTGTCTCTTCCCACTGTAATTGAAAAGGAAAAACTGACTTTAGGTATACTAAATCAAAAGCATATACACATAAATCACAGATAACTCACATGCAGGCATGGGTATGGCCTTACTATATGCTATGCGGCCTCACCACTCAAAACGTGATCCAGGGACAAGCAAAATCCGTACTGTTTGGGAGTTCGTTAGAGGCAGAATATCAGGCTCCACTTCAAATTTACTGAATGAGAATTATTTCTTTTAACAAAAGCCCTGGGTGATTTGAAAAGCACTGGACAAACCCAAAATGAGCAAAAGTGACTGTACAGAGGAATTTTTTCTTTTTCTTTTATGAGACAGGGTCTCACTCTGGCTCCAGACTGGGGTGCAGTGATCATGACTCACCGCAGCCTTGACTTCTCGGGCTCAAGCAATCCTCCCACCTTAGTTTCCTAAGTAGCTGGGACCACAGGTGTGCACCACAACGCCCGGCTAACTTTTTGATTTCTGTTGTTGTTGTTGTTGTTGAGACAGGCGTCTCCCTCTGTTGCCCAGACTGTTCTCCAACTCCTGGGCTCAAGCAATCCTCCCAACTTGGCCTCCCAAAGTGCTGGGATTAGAGGTGTGAGCCACCACGCCTGGCCTGTACAGGAGGAAATTTTTTTATGTAGGTTCCGCTGAGTACAGGATTTTTATCCTTTCAAAACAGCCTATACCAGTGGTTCAACACAGGTCACTGGTCCCCATCCCCAGGGTTTCTGGTTCAGTACACCTAGGGTGGAAGCCAAGAATCTGCATTTCTAACAAACTGCTAGGTGATATCCATGGTGCTGCTGCTGGCCTAGGAACAACCACACCACAGGTTTATGCTATTAAAAACAACAGGCCTCGTATTTTGGGGAATTTTACTCCAAGTGCACTTCCAATAGAAGAGAGAATACTGAGCTAGTAAAACAGAAAAGAAAAGGAGGCAGCAGCAAAATGTTTCATTTATGTTACAAGAAGGTAGCTGTTAACACTCCTTTGTACACAGTGGGGTAAAAATAGCTGAAGGAATTACTATAGCAACAGCTATCATATCCTTAGAGACTTTCTCTCCTGGCATTACTCATAAAGGGAGACCCATCCTACACGAATCTATTTCAACCTGGAGACCTGTCACAAACAATAAACATGGGAAATTTATCCCATTCGTTAAACACTATGAGATAAAATACAAATTTAAGATGGATTTGAAAAATGACTCTGTGACGCCTGAATTTGGATTTGGTCCAGCAATTAAACAAAAACAACAAAAAAAGTAAGTCTTTATGGCTGTGAAACAACAAGAAAAGGAGAGCTGAGAAATGTTGAGAATACTTATAAAATTTTTAATGTTTTTTTAAAAATCCCAAAATAGCTTCTTCTTTTAAAACAAAGACTTTCCAAATTATAAATAAAAGAATATATAAAAACCAAAGAGCTCCACCTAGAGTTTGAAAAAAGGGTTATTACTTATACACACACGTAACAAAGCACTATCTACCCTATTGTATCTATATTCTCTTCATTACTGTTAAAAATATGTATTCTTACAAAATCTTTACAAAAAGGATAACCTTTTAAAGTGTGTAATACTGTTAATGCAAAGGAGAACTGACTTTTTCATGTCTGTAACCTATTTTTCTTCTAAGAATTTGGCAGTTGTATTTGTCACTGTGAATGATTATCTTCAGGTAAATCACTAAAAAGTTAGGATAGAACATACATACCTACTATGTAGCCACAAAAGTTTTTTAAATAATTAAAAAACTAAAAAGTTGGGATAGTGTTTAAGGAATTCATGGAGATGACAGTTTATGAAATTGATTCAAGAACCCAGTTCTTACCTGAGCTTGCTGTATGTCCTTGAGTAACTCCTCTTCGAATCCTGAGTTTTCGCCTCAACAGGGGTTAGATAAGACCAGTGATTCTCAGACCCGGCTGCTCATTGGAAACACTTGAGATCATTGGAAATAATTTGATGCACGGGTCCCAGCCCCCACGATCATGATTTAATTGTTCTGCTGTGTGGAGTAGGAGGTGTGGGCAATTTAGTTGCCTTGTAAAAGCTCCCCAGGTGATTCTAACATGCAGATTGGCTGTACCATATTGGGTGATCTCCAAGCTGTCTTTCACCCTTAAGCATCTATAGCTCTAGCTCAGTGGCTCTGAAGCTTTCATGTGGATCACAGTCACCTGGAGGGCTTGTGAACTCACACACAGCTGGACCTTACCACTGGCTTCGGATGCAGTAGCCTCAAGGTAGGCCCCAAGAATTTACGTTTCTAACAAGGTGCCAGGTAATGCTGATGCTACTGATTCAAGGTCCTATTTTGAGATCATTGTTCTAGATTATTTTAAAATTACATCTGCCAATCTCCCAAATTATTCTTACTCTCCTTGATGAAGCCACAGTATGATATGGTTAATTAATCTCCTTGATTCCAATCTCCCTTCTTCCAGTTCTTAGCCCATACTTTCAACACAGTTAGTAACCTAACCCACAAATGGTATTGTGTCACTCCCTGGCCTGAAACTTTTCAACAACTCCCCATTGCTGACACAAGGACAAATTCACATGACATGCAAAGCTTTTCAGTTTCCAGTAGTCTGTCATCTGCCTATGTTCCAGTCACATGTTCCCAAAAACACAATGAAAGCTCTGTCAGCACAGTGCCTTCATATCTGACATTCTCTTCTCCTGAAAGGTCCTCATTCCACCTTCTCTTTCTGACATACTTGTCACCATTCACTCTATGGGCCAGGTACTGTGCAAGGCACTGGGAATTCAAAGAGAAGTTCAGACAATCCCTGCCTTTAAGGAGCGTACAGTCTTGAGAACTGTAGAAAGCATTGTTGAATGGCAAACCCAACACTAGTCTTAATACCTCTCCCCCTTCTCCCTTTAATCCTTATGAGTGGCTGAAAAAGCTAATTACTGCCAGGGATGGACAATAGCACATACATAGAAATGTGCTGCCAGCTTCTGGGAAAGGGTTTGCTTTCCAGATAAAAAGGAAAAGACCCAGAGCCATCCATTCCCCCAGCCTTGAGTGTGGGTGCAACGCCTGAAGCTGGGACAGCCATCTTACAACCATGAGGCAAAGGACAAGAGAATCTTACAGACACGGTCCTGACATTGATGATCAGCTCAACAAGCGCCAGTAGCCACTGACCTCCACTCTCCTTTATATTTGAGAATAAACCGCCATTTGTTGAGCCACTTGTTTATCAGTTTTCCGTTATTGACAGCTGAAAGCATTCTCTTGGGGTGGAGGTGGGAAATATCCAGCAAGTCATCCTTTCACAGCAGCTGTGCTAAGTGATGTCAGGAAGCAGAGCACACAGTGAGAGGCTACAACACAGCGAGTGGGGAATGAAAGAGTGGGGAGCAATCAGCAAGGCGTGGAGACAAGAAGGAAGCATCCATTCCAGGCAGAGGAAGGAGCTTCTGCAAAAGTCCTCAGGGAGGAAGAGCTCTTGTGGCAGAGGACAGAAAAGCCTGCAAGATGAGGAGCAACAGAGGAAGCCGGAAGGAGAGGCAAGGCTTGTCCTGCTCCCCAAGGCAGGAGGAACACTCCTCCCACTTCATCCCCAGAGCTTCATCCCCAAACTCTACCCCTGTCCTTCCACCCTGTTCTAATGTACCTGCCTACCTCTTTCACCCCAGTTAGACTGGACTTTTCACAACCCCTTTAATCATCTTATGCCCCTTAGCACCTAGCAGAGGGACGTGGAAATACACATAATAAACATTTACTGAATGAAAACATTATCATATAATAGTTTAACTATTCAGAAGTATCCTGGCTGGGCGTGGTGGCTCATGCCTGTAATCTCAGGACTTTTGGAGGCCGAAGCAGGTGGATTGCTTGAGCCCAGGAGTTCGAGACCAGCCTGTGCAACATAGTGAGACCCTGTCTCATTTAAAAAAAAAAAAAAATCCTAAAAAGTCATAATCCAATATGAGGGCTGACTTATGAATATTTTTGAAGCCCAGTTCTGTAACTGAGTTCCACCACCACCCAGGTATGCCACCTTCACATGACTGAATGAGATGCTTGCTGTAGAACCTTATTAGAGTTAAAACAGGTGATCTCAGGCAATATTTACTGATTTTTTATTTTTATTTTTAAAGCACAGGGAGCTTGACTTTAGCAGCCCAGTCAAAAGTACCTGCCACAGATGAAGGTCCAACCAGGAGTGGTTCTATAGTAGTATATATGGTTTTATAGTAGTAAGCCTACACTATATATACAAAGTATACATACAACTATGTATATACAGACTTACAATCTGACTCTGAAGAATATCAAACCAAATGTTTAGTTAGCTGACCCTTGCCCCAAAAAAGAGGAAGAGAAATAGAAACTTGCATTATGCATCAAAATATTATCCAAATTTGTTTTCAAACGGTAGGTTTATGGGTGATTTAATTTAATTTCCACTTCTTAATATTTTATAATTCGCTTGATTCACTTAAATTACTTAAATCAATACAATTTTTTTTACTTACAAAAGCACAGAGGAGAGCAAAACTTCCTCAGCCACGAGGCCTTAGTTTACTCAGTATGTTTTGAAAAACGCTTCATACTTTTTATAATTAAAAGTGAATCCAAAGTTTAAATTTAAATTGCAGACAGCCTTTGACCCATATCCAGGAATCAACACTTCAAAAATATGGGGAATAGCACATACCTCACGTCAGTGGCATGGAGAGCAAGGGAAACAAGGCACAGTATTTTATTGGTTAGAATTGCTGATGCATGGTGGTAATCAAAAGCAGACCGTGTTGGGCGCAGTGGCTCATGCCTGTCATACCAGTGCTTTGAGAGGTCAAGGCTGGAGGATTGCTTGAAGCCAGGAGTTTGACAACAGCCTGGGCAACACAGTGAGACCCCATCTCTACAAAAGTAAAATAAGGGCAAAAAGAGGAAAAATAAATAAATAAATAAATAAAAGAAAAGCAGGCCGGGTATGGTGGCTCATGCCTGAAATCCCAGCACTTTGGAAGGCTGAAACAGGTGGATCACCGGAGGTCAGGAATTCGAGACCAGGCTGGCCAACATGGCGAACCTTGTCTCTACTAAAAATAAAAAAAATTTAAAAATTAAAAAAAATTAGCTGGGCGTGGTAGTGGGTGCCTGTAATACCAGCTACTTGGGAGGCTAAGGCAGGAGAATTGCTTGTACCTGGGAGGTGGAGGTTGCAGTGAACGGAGATCGTGCCATCGCACTCCAGCCTGGGCAATGGAGCAAGTCTCCGTCTCAAAAAAATAATAATAATAATAAAAGAAAGAAAAGCAGGCCAACTTTTAGTTGGTTTTCCTGTTGTTTTCAAATTCCCTATATACAATGTGCCCATAATGCCTGCACCAGGCAGATGATCCCACTACCTGCACTGGTGCACGGCTGTTTGCTGTTCCCTCTGCACAGAAAGCTCTTCCCAGACCCTCTGCACTGGCAGCCTCCTCTTTACCATGCATCTCTTAGCTTAGAAGTCACCTCCACGGAAAGCCCTTCCCTGATTATCCCATGTAGAGTTGGAAAAGCACCACTCTCTTCTACAAGACCTTCTTTATGTCCTCCATGGCACTTACCACTATTTGAAAATATCGAGTTTATTATTTGTTTATTGAGGGTCTTCCCACACAAGAAATGAAACCTTACTTCTTGGTCACTGCTGAATTCTAGTACCTAAAACAGTTCCTGGCATATATAAAAGGTATCAAATATATAATCATTTCATAAATGAAAAAGATATACATATATATGTATACAAGGATACTCACTGCAACAAGATGTATAATAGCAAAAAACTGCAGAAAGCTGAATGCCCAGTAATAGACGAATGATTAAATAAATTATAATTCATCTATAAATCAGAATATTCTGCAGGGATTTAAAAGAACACTTACTGCCATCAGAAGATATCCACAATATACAATATCATGAAATTTTAAGTTGCAGAATAATATGTGTGGTATGATCCCATCTTCATAAATGACAGAGATAAATGTAACTACATGGGAATGTATAGGGTTTTTAAATAACAAGGGATTATATTATACGTATTTTCAATATATATACATGTTATATGCATAGAAAAAATGTATAGGACTATGGTATTAAGAGGACAGAAAGAACTTACATCTTTTACTCCACATAAATCCACATCATTTAAATTTTAGAACAACCATGTAAATCTTTTGTAAATGTTTTTAAAAGATCATATTTATTTTGTACTGATAAACTAAAATAGATTTCAAGTTTTTGGAAAATTGACATATCTTTTTAAAAAATATTTATTTAAAATATTTCATGCTCAGACCAGGTGCAGTGGGGTCACACTTGTAAATCCCAGCACTTTGGGAAGCTGAGGCAGGCGAAACACCTGAGGTCAGGAGTTCAAGACCAGCCTAGCCAACATGGTGAAACGCCATTTCTACTAAAACTACAAAAATTAGCCGGGCATGGGTGGCAGGCACCTGTAATCTCAACTACTTGGGAGGCTGAGGCAGGAAGAATTGCTTCAACCCAGGAGGTGGAGGTTGCAGTAAGCCAAGATCATACCACTGCACTATAGCCTGGATGACAGAGCAAGCCTCCATCTCAAAAAGATAAAAATAAATAAATAAAAATGAAAATGAAAATATTTCATGCTCATATACACGATGGAATACTATGCAGCCATAAAAAGAAATGAACTCATGTCCTTTGCAGGGACGTGGATGGACCTGGAAGCCATTATCCTCAGCAAACTAACACAGGAACAGAAAACCAAACACCACATGTTCTCACTTATAAGTGGGAGCTGAATAATGAGAACACATGGACACAGGGAGAGGAACAACACACACTGGGGCTTGCCGGGGAGCAGGGGAGGGAGAGCATCAGGATAAATAGCTAATGCATGCGGGGCTTAATACCTAGGTGATGGGTTGATAGGTGCAGCAAACCACCATGGCACATGTTTACCTATGTAACAAGCCTGCACATTCTGCACATGTATCCTGGAATTTAAATTAAAATATATATGTATATATATATTTCAAGCTAAAGTTTTTATATTGTAGGCAAACTTTAAGATTATATTAAAAATAAACAAAATTAATAAGGAAACACTGAACTTGAACTACACTTTAGACCAAATAGACCTAACAGACATATGTAGAATTTTCCATCCAACACCAACAGAATACACATTCTTAAGAGCACATGGAACTTTCTCCAGGCCGGGTACCAAAAACAGTGCCTGGCATAAATAACAGGTATCAAATATATAATTGTTTAATAAATGAAAAATACATACATTTATTATCTATGTTAGGCCACAAAACTGGTCTGGACAAGTTTAAGAGAAGTAAAATCATTTTAAGTATCTTTTCTGATAATAATGCTATGAAACTGGGACTCAATAACAGGAGAAATCTTGGAAAATTCACAAATATGTAGAAATTAACATGTTACTAAACAACCAATGAGTCAAAGAAGAAATCAAAAGGGAAATTTAAAAATACCTTGAGACAAAAATGAAAATACAACACATACCAAAACTTATGGGATGCAGCAAAAGCAGTTCTAAGAGGGAAACTTATAGCAATAAATGACTTTATGCACCAGGGACCAGTGGAAGACAGGAATGGAGTGGGTAGGGTTTCAGGATGAAACTTCCACCTCAGATGATCAGGCATTAGTTAGATTCTCATAAAGAGTGAACAACCTGTATCCCTTGCATGAGCAGTTCACAATAGGGTTCGCTCCGCCATAAGACTCTAATGCTCCCACTGATCTGACAAGAAGGGGAGCTCAGGCGGTACTGCTGCTCATCTCCTGCTGCGTAGTCCGGTTCCTAACAGGTCACAAAGGTTGGGGACCCCTGCAGTCTATCAGAAAAGAATAAAGATCACAAATAATCTAATGTTATACCTCAAGGAAGCAGAAAAAGAAAAAGCCCAAATACAGCAGAAGGAAAGAAATGACAAAGATCAGGGCAAAAATAAATAAAATAGAGACTAGAAAAACAATAGAAGAAAAATCAATGAAACCGGCAGTGGTTTCTTGAAAAGATAAACAAAATCGACAAACCTATAGTTAGGCTAACCTAGAAAAATATTGAAAAGATTCAAATAAATAAAATCAGAAATAAAAGAGGAGACACTGTGATTTATGCCACAGAATACAAAGAATCATAAAGATTACTATGAACAAACAACCATAAGCCAATAAACTGAATAATCTAGAAGAAATGGAGGCATTCCTAGAATTTATCCTACCACATATAACCTACCAATGCTAAATCAAGACGATATAGAAAATCTGAACAGACCAATAATAATTGAATTGGTCATTCAAACAGATTGAATCAATAATACAAAGTTTCCCATCAAAGAAAAGCCCAAGACTGGAAGTGTTACTGATGAATTCTACCAAACATTTAAAGAACTAATATCAATCCTTTTTGAACTCTTCCAAAAAATCAAAGAGGAGGAAATACTTTTGAACTCTTATTATGAGGTTAGCGTTACCTTGATACCAAAGCCAGACAAGAACATTATGAGAAAAGAAAATTACAGGCCAATATCCCTGATGAACATAGATGTAAAAATCCTCAACAAAATACTAATAAGCCAAATTCAACAGCACATTAAAAGGATCATTCCCCATGATCAAGTGGGATTTATCTCAGGGATACAAAGATGATTCAACATATGCAAATCTACAAATAGAGAACACCATATTAACAGAATGAAGGACAAATACTATATGATCACCACATTAGATGCAGAAAAGGCATCTGATAAATTTCAACATCCTTTCACTAATAAGTATAGAAGAAATGTACATCAACATAATGAAGGCCATATATGAAAAGCCCACAGCAAACATTATACTCAATGGTAAAAAATTGAAAACTTTTTCTCTAAGATCAGGAACAAGACAAGGATGCCCACTGTCGTCATTTCTATTTAATGTAGTACTGGATGCCCTTGTGAGAGCAATTATGTAAGAGAAAGAAGTAAAAGGCATTCAAATAGGAAAGGAAAAGGTTAAAATTGTCACTGTTTGCTGATGAGAAAACCCTAAAGACTCTATCAAAAAACTGTTAGAAGTGACAAATAGTAAAGTTGAAGGATACAAAATCAACACACAAAAATCAGTAGCATTCATATACACTAGCAACAGACTAGCTGAAGAAATATAGAAAACAGTCTCATTTACAACAGCTATCAAAAAAAAAAAAAACTAGAAGAATAAGTGTAACCAATGAGATGAAAGCTCTATACACTGAAAAATATATGACATTGATTAAAGAAATTGAAGAAGACACAAATAAATAGGATATTCCACGTTCATGGGTTGGAAGAATTAATATTGTTCAAAAGTCCATACTACCTAAAATGACCTTCAGACTCAATGCAATCCCTATTAACATTTCAATGACAGTTTTCACAGAAATAGAAAAGGCAATTTTAAAATTTATATAGAATCACATGCACACATGAACACAAAAACCCTAAGTATCCCAGGCAATCTTGAGCAAAAAGAACAAAGCTGGAGGCAACATTCTACCTGACTTCAAACTATATTACAAAGCTATAGTGATTAAAACAGCATGGCACTGACATAAAAATAGAAACATCAACCAGTGGAACAGGATAGAGAGCCCAGAAATAAACCCACATATTTACGGTCAATTGTTTTTTATTTTTTTACAAAGGTGCCAAGAACACACCATGGGGCAAAGACAGTCTCTTCAATAAACAGTAATGGGAAAACTAGACATCCACATGAGATGAGTGAGATGCGACCCTTATGTCATACCATACACAAAACACAACTCAAAATGGATTAAAGACTTAAACACAAGACCTGAAACTGCCCCCCCCCAAAATACCAGAAGAA